TAAACAGGACACTGCTGAAGCTGGAAAACCTGTGTGGGTTCCCGGTTTCTGTAGTTCATCACGGGCAGGTCACTTTCCTGCGTCTCAATTTCCTTAGCCCTGAAGTAGAAATTAATGTTGAACTTCCTTTCTAAATTGTCCCAAGCCCTGCTGTGATTAAATGTGCTGTGTTTGTATGAGCTGAGTGGTGTTATTACAGCATAAGACCACAGTGAAACCGAAAATTAAAAGTGGCATTGCAAAAACATGTCTTTGGAACAGAGGGGGTGGCTGGGCTGTTGGAGAGTGTTTATTCACCACTGCAGGGAGATGGCAGCTGGTCCCACGGGAAACACGTGCACTGAGGCCTGAAGGTCCCTGGAGCGGGAGCGGCTCAGCCAGGTCCGTGTGTCACGCAGGGCTGTGCTCGCACACGCCCGCGAGTGATCCCATCCTCAGCGAGCTGCCTGCTCAGGCGTTCTCGCTGTTTGGAAATTCATTGTTGGGAAAATATTCCCAGCCTCCCAGCACGTGGTTCTCAGCTGTGTCTCAGTGGATTGCAGGTCCCTGGGGGCAGAGGCTGCCTGGGTTTGCCTCCCCCTTTCTCTCAGTGAAATGGGTACCGATGGTTTCGTGCTGACTCAGAGCCCAGAGATAGCCACGAGTTTTTTTTTCCTCGTTGAGCATCCCTGTGTAGAAAGAGCTATTTTTACCTGAACCTGAACCTTTCTAGCATTATTCCTGACAGGAAAAAATAAGCCCTTTGTGCTTGAAGTCAAAACCAAAAGAAGGGACCTTTCCTCAGAAGTGCCTGTGATCCTCTCAACCTTTCAGGAACTGAGCAACAGCAGCCTCTGAATGTGCCTCTGGCAGTGCCTCTCTTCCTTCTTGGTTACACTGTGTGGTGACCTGCTGGCAGGAGAAACCCCTCTCTGAGGTACAAAGGGCTGGTAAGTCCATGTAAGAAAAGACCAAGTGAGACAGAGGGAACGGTGTCTTTGGAATCGCTGGTGGGTCAGAGCCTTTCCAGGGAAAAGCTGTAGGGTCAAGCTGGGAAATTTTTGTTTGGAGGGAATGAAGAGAAAAATAAGAGCAGTGGAGTCTGGTTCCTGTACTCAGGAGCCTTTTGTGGCTGCTAAGTACAAATTCTACAGTTCTTCCTCTCCCCTCATCTCCGTTGCTTCCACTGGTGGGGGATTTACTCTTCCACTGGATACACAGGCAGCTCTTGGGCGTGGCAAGTGTGGTTTGAACAGCAGCTCCCTGGCCATAACCCCTGCAAGGTGACTGACCTGCAGCACATGCAGCAGCAGTTGAGGCTGAGCAGGATGGTTTCCTCCTCTGGTGGGTGTTTGGGTGGGAAGTGTAAGGTTTTTTTATTTTTATGCTGCTGGATTGTTGTAATTCCAGCCATGCACAGCAGAAGCTGGGCAGTGCTGGCTGTGAAGGTGCTTGTGCACCTGTGCAGGGTGGGACAGGCATCCAGAGGCAGAAATAGCCACCAGGCCATCCTGTTTGGGCAATTCCACTCTTCCTGCCTCCTCACCTCAGTCGGCACCTCAGCCACAAATAAAGACAAATGAGTTCTGCTGTTGAAAATACCTGCACTTAAAAGAGCCTCCCTCCTCCGTGGGGTTCATGATGTGTCTGTTTATTCATCCTTTGCTCACATGGTAATTTGCTGCTGCAGAAATGTATCTCAGCTCCACCCTGGGCTGGGACTGAGCCACCTCTGCTGCCACTGCTGGAGGTCCTTTCCCAGGAGAAATCAGCTGTGCCACATCCACCATGGGACTGCCAGAGCTCTGCCTGCCCACAGCAGCTCCTGCTGCCATCACTGCCTTTGCAGGAGCTCATCCCAGATCCCAGGGGGATTCTAACTCTGCCCTGGCTTGCATTGTCCATCTCTTCAAGAGCTGGAAATATTCTGAGATGCCCCCAGGTGAAAATGGGCACAGGAGCTGTTGACTGGGAAGAGGCAAAAGCAGTGCCAGTGCTCCTCTAATATGAAAGACTTGCAGCTGTGGGTTGAGCTGAAGCAGCAGCTGCTGTGGTGTCACTTTGGTGTTAATTGGGGGGTGGGTGAGTGCAAGGAACAGAAATTGCTGTGGAAGAGGGGAGAGAAGCCAGGGAGGAAGAGGCTGGCACAAGTGCCAGGCTCCTCTACTGCAATGCCTTATGCTCATTCCTACCAACTAACCCTGTTTCTGCTGCCCCTCTCTCCAGCTGAACGTGCTGCAGGTTTGTGCCTTCTGGGTAAGGGCTCTCCTTTGTGGTGTTCAGTTGTGCCACAGCCTCAGCTCCTGGTCTCAGGTAGCTCAGGTTTCCATCCCACCTGGAACTGTGCCCGACATCCATCCCCCTCTGTTCTGCCAGCCAGGCTGGGCTTCAGGAGCCTGGGCTCTCACTGGCAGGAGTAATTGCAAAAATTGATTCACAGGGAATGCCTGTAGCAGGCAAATCCCTCTGACAGACCACACAGCCATCAGATTCTGCATTTATTTGAGTCAATCAATGCTCTCATGCATATTTGGGTCGTAAATACTCTGCTATAAATTGCATTTATTCTTGTGACAGCTGTGTTCCTTTACCTGTTATTTATTTGGCTCTGCTGTCCTCTGGTTTTACACCTTGTGGAGCTGTCAAGTCAGCTGCTCCCCACTGACAGAGCTCACAGCTCAGAGCCTTCCCAAAATAACCCCTCCAAAGGGATTTCAGCAGCAGCAGGATGGCCGTTGTTGGAAAGTCATTGGGCGATCTTTTTTTGGGGGTTGTCTTATTGGAAAGAGGAGCTTTGTGCTTTTTGCCTGCTTTTTTGTCATCCCTGAATTCCAGAATTAGACTTTTCATTCATGGCCCAGAGGTCATTGATGCCAATAATTAACGGGAATTTTGGGTGGCACCCCGTGTGTCTCACGGCTGAATTAATCAGGTTATTCAGGATCTGAAATGCTGGGATGCTGACTCGGACGTTCCTAATTTTCCCCTGGAAGCTTTTTTAGCTTCACATCGTACAAATGGCAGGAGATGTGATTTGGAGATGGCTGAATTGCAGCGTCCTTCCAAGGGGAAGGTCAAACTTGCAGTGGGCACAGCGCTCCGGGCGAGTCACGGGCGTTTTCTGCCACATAACCCTGCGTGCCAGGCTGCTGCTCCAGCCTTGCAAGGTGCCAGTGGCTTTGGTGTTAATTCAGGAAAGCATTTAATCATGGAATTGATGACTCTGAAGTGCCCAGTATAAGCATGTGCTTAAGTGCCTTGTTGGAGCAGGGCCAGTGCAGATGCACCTTAGCAGAGCAGAGATTTGTGAGCCACTTCTGGGTGTAGTTTCTGTGTCAAACAGAGAGGAAAACACTCACTCTTTTATTCAACAGGTTTTATTTGCACAAGGGTTTGGGGATAGATGCAGGCACTGAGTGTTCTGTCAATAGGGTTTATGTGTGAGCTGAACAGCAACGCTGTCCACGGCATTGCTGCTGAAATATCTGTGATATAAAGCTGCATGTGCTGCTTTCCAGGTCTTGCCATTTCTCTGTTATCTCCATTTATTTTACTCTAAATGGAAAAAGAGTAAATCTGTAATTCAGATCAAATATCACAGTGCAAAATAGAAACACACTGGTATGGCTCCCGAAATGTAGATGCAAATGGGGATGTATTATTTATAAGGCAGCTTTGACATCTTAATGTACTGAAAAAAGGAGAGACATTTAGTCATAGTTCAGCATTCTGCACGTTTTTGAACTATCTTAGATCATCATCCATGAAAAATTCATAATTGGGATCTTACTTTAATTTTATGCTCACATTCCAGCTGGGGGGAGTGGGGGTGTCCTTTACTCGTCTTTTTTTTTAACCTATTTATTTTTTAACCTATTTATTCTATCCCCCCACCCTGTTTTGTACAGTTAAAAGTAGACAGCTGGGGTTGGGCAATGCCAGAAGCCCACCCTGCCCTCCAAGAACTGCCTGATAATTAATGAGACCCAGAACTCTGACTAAAGAGGGATTTCCAGGTGTTCTGGTGTCCCACCCAAGTCCTTCTGGGTTTGCTGAACACAGTGAAAGTTAGAAGGTTCGTGCTGCACAGCTGTAAAATCCATGTAGTTCCTCTGATGTGGACAGACAAAATCCAGGGATAAATCAGCTTAAAACCTGCCAAGGTGCAAATGAATCAGGAATGTGGTGTGAGTGCCCCCCTTTCAGGTGTTCTCAGGGGTGTCAGTGGTCAGGTTGTTTTGAGCTGGGCTGGAGGAGGGAACTCTGAACTGAGGTGATTTTGCAGAGGTCACTGTGTCGAGAGCCTCATTCCTGCATGACAGAAGATCCTGGGTTAATGCTTTGAGGGTTTTTTTGGAGGGGAAACAAAGGGAAAAGGTGAACTTGTAGTCCTCAGATGAGGCCATTCCTTTGTTGCTCAGTGATGGGTTTGGATCCCAGCTCAGTGTTGGCAAAAGGACCGAATGAAGGGATGGGAGTTTTTAACTGCAGGGCTGGTGCCACTGGGGTGACAGCGGGGTGTTTACTGGTTTTCCTCACTGCTTCATGGTTTCTTACTTGGAAGGATGAAGGATGAAAGAACCTTTCTGTGGTCCACTTCTCTCCAGTCTCTGCTGCAAGAGCCAACAGGGAGCCCTTGGCTTTGTTTTCTCGTTGCTTGAAACTCCTTCCAACCTCCACTTCACCTTCTCAGTGAGGTTTAGGCAGAAGCTCTTGATTTATTCTGTCCTGGTTTTGCCCATCCCCAGATCCTGAGCTCACAGCAGACTCCGAGGGGCTGGTGCTTTCAAGTAATACGAGTTCATGGGTCCAAAGCTTCTCTGGGAATGAAAAATCTGTTTGATTAAGGAAACACCGACTTCTGAAAGCCCATCAGCCTGTGCAGCTCCGTAAGGCAGGGCTGCAGACTGTCTAATTAAATGGAACTGCTCTCTGGAGGATTTGGTTTGCAGAAAATTAGTTTTCATGTTCTTGGTCTGATGTTTATTAAACGTTTCTTCCCCTTTTTCTCTCCCTTGCAGTTTTCATCTGCAGTTTCATGGTGGCGGCGCCGATCTTTGGTTACCTTGGTGACCGCTTCAACAGGAAGATCATCCTCAGCTGTGGGATCTTCTTTTGGTCAGCTGTCACTTTCTCCAGCTCCTTCATCACCGAACAGGTAAGATTCTTTGCAAGGGCTCTTTGTGTCCTGGAGAGATGGACAAGGAGAGTTCCTGAAAATCTCCCCGTCCCCTCAAGGGGAACGTGTCCCCCTGGTGTGTATTTAACATTTAGCATGTTGCATTCTCTGACCTTTTGTGGGTGAAGTGTGCTCTGTGTAACTGTGTTTGCTTAACTGTGAAAGCTGCTGTTCTTTGGTCATAAAAAATAGCAGATGAAGCGTATCCGAGCAAGAGTTTCTGTTGACACAAGGGCTTTGTTATGAGGGAGATCCTAGAGAAGCTTTAAAAAGGCTTTACAGAAGCCTTGGGAAAAGGAACCCGTGGCTATAAGTGGTTCTTTTGTCTTCTGGTGTGTAACAGAAGCCACTGGAGTTCTTTTTTTGGGAAGTCTGCTCGTGGTTGTGGAGTAACTAAACGCAGCCAGCAGTGGTTTTACACGTGGACTTTGGCTCCTGTCCACAAAGGCAAAAAAGGTGGGTGATAAAGAGAGATTAAATGTGGTTTCAGCTCCTTAAACACTGGCTGATGGGTGTATCTGGGGAGCTGCTGGTGGAGCTGTCAGGCTCTGCACAGCTCCTGTGCTGCTCCCAGGACCCCATTCCAATCTCCCCTCCCTGCAATCATCCCCTTGTCTGCCAGAGCCACTGAGAGGGAACAATGATCTGGCAGTTTCGGGGAGAAAATACCCTCTTGTTTAAATCATGCCATAGAGGAGATTTAATTGCTGCAGGTGGCAACATTCCTGGGGAGACGAATCACAGCTCCTGGCATCATCAGCCTGGTTTCCCCCGGGGAGGGAGGGACAATTCCTCCTCCTTTCTGCCCAGCTGCGTTCCAGGGATTGCAGCGTTGTGGTCACACCTCAAGAGTGACAACCTGGGACTGAAGCTCCCCACCCTGGTTCCTCCTGCCCACCCACGGGCTCTGCAGTTTCTAAGAAAAGACAGTTCCCACCCAAAGCAGGCAGTGGCTCTCACATGTAGGTCTGGCTTTCATGTTGGATTGGCTGGTGGAAAATGCTCAGTGGCCAAATGTGGAAGCCTTTAACTCAGTAAATGATTCTGGTTTATAGCATCCTTTCCAGAGGAAGAGCATCTCTCACCTAAAACAGAGAGGCTTTTTGGGTTTCTTTCTTAATTTTATTTTTTTATTTATTTATTCTTTAAATGTCTCTCATAACATTCTGCAAAAGTCTCTGTGGTCAGAGCCCAGAGAGAGAAGCAGCTGTGAAGGAACTGATAACCTACTTCTAAACACTTCTCATGGCATGGACATGCATCATGCTCAGGTTTTCATCAGTGGACATGGTCCCACAGCTGGAATTGGGGGACACTGGGACTGGATTGATGTTTTCAGAGTTGAATTTCAGTTTAAGGATTTCAGGCTTAATACCTGAAGTGGTTCAGGGATTAATATATAGGGTCATTTGTACACAGGAGCTCAGGGTGGAAGTGGCATATTGTTAGCCCAAGAAAGGGAGAATAATGCTTTTAAAGCTGGATTATGTTTGGAATCCAGACCCAATGTTTTGGACATCATAAGAGAGGCAAGATCACAATAGCCAGGCCTGTGTCAATTCATGCTGGATTTGTATCAGCACTAACTCTGGACCCAAACTACCATTTTGATAGAAACCACCCTAATCCCCTGTCCTGATTTTCCTGGGATCCTCAACTCCACCAGAAGATTTAGCTATTAATCCAGAGGTCTCACACTCAACTCCAGGAGAGGATGGAAAACTTTGCAGCTGCTGGAAGGATGTGCTTTACCCAGTGGCTCCAGCAGTTGGCTGAGGTCATAAGAATAATCCCAACTTCCCATAGTCTCCTTCCCAATTTGATATCCATGCTGGAGGCCTGGTCTCCAGTGGGGAAGTCACACTACACTGAACCAGGTGAATTCCTGACATAGTGGTGAGGAAAAGGGGCAGAGAAATGCTGCTGCAGCCTTTCTCTTCATGTAATGACTAACCAGGCACCTCTCCTGATCTTTGTCCTCCAGGATTCACCTGGGGAGCAAAACACTGGCTATTCTCTCCCATTTTTTTCCTCCTTTCCTTTCAGGCTTTGTGTGTGTGTGTTTGTCAGGGAGGAGGGCTGGGAGCCAAAATTATCCACAGCTCTTTGCTGGCACAAATAAAAGCAGTGGTGAAAGCACTGTGAGTAAGAGAAGTGCTCTCATCCGAGTCCAGGTTACAAACAGTGCTGGAAGGAGCAGGTGGGCAGAGGCTGAGCCCATGGAAGAGCTGCTCAGCAAACTCCTTGATGTGGCAACACCAAAAATACCCACTTAGGTGAGAAACAGTGGCCATTCAGTATAAACAGCAAACTGTCTTCAGGGATTGTCTTTCTTTGGATTTGGACAGTGAGTGGTGCCTCATGCCTCCTGTCAGTGTGTAATTAGATAGAACTCACAGCCACAGAGCTCCAGTTTGGAGGGTAAATGGGAGGAGACAGCTCAACAAAGGCACAAAGCAGCTGCAGAGCTGCTGAACTCTGAAGGCACCCAGTTTGTAAAGGGTTCTGGCAGCCTGTTGGTAATATTAGTTCCTGGCTAAAATTTGGGTGCTAAAGGAAACCATATTATGTGAGTAAATATGTAGATTGTTTGTAATTCATTGGGCAAACAAGTGCCCAGCAAAGGCCATGGTAATTATTATCTGTCCTGCTGCCCTCCCACAGCTTGCCATGACACCCTGGGGTGTGGGGCATCCTTTGGGTCACCTGTCCCAGGTGAGACCCCAATTCCTGGTGCCCCCCAGCCCCTCCCTGGTGGGTGAGGAGCAGAACAGCCCCTGACTCTGTGTGAGCACCCAAAAACACCCCCGTGTCACCAACTCTGTTCTCAGCACGAATCCAAACCGTGGGCCCCCAGAGCTGCTGGGGAGAAAATTTACTCCATCCCAGCCAAAACCAGCACAAAAGGGCTGGAGCTTAACAACAGCTCAGCTAAAATACTGTCTAAATGCTGCTTTATGCTGTTTGGTTTAAAAAGAGTCACTGAGAACTGAAATTGGGTGTTTGTGCTGTGCAGACGTAGTTGCTGGAGAGCACTGCATTATTAAAATATCCTGAGTTATTTATTATCAAATATCTCTTGGTTCTTAACATGGAAGAGGGGCCATCAAATAAATGAAGAACAAATCTCTCATCTGCTGGCAGCTACTAAATAATAAACTCTCACAAGGCAAATGAAAAATGAAAATCAGGCCAAAATTTAAGGGTAGTTCCAGAGTGTATAGGAAGTGATAGTTACAGAAAACAGCAAAATAGAAACAGGACAGAGAGATGTTTATAAGTTTGGTCACTGTTCATGAGGTCTTATATTACATTTAAACCAAATCAAAATAAGAAACCAAGTAAGTGCTGTATCACAGAGTAATTCCATAAATACACCTGGTTCAGTGGATAAAAATAGCTCATGGCAAATGTAACTAAAGGACATCATCAGAAGTAACAAGGCTGAGATAATATTGAAAAGGTCACCTTTTATTCTGTCAAATAGTGTGATCATTTATGTTAGTGCAGAATTCCTCTGTGGAAAAAAAGGATGACAGCCCTCCTTCCTGCTCTGTAACACTGTTTAGCACTTCCTAAAATAAAAGTTCCATTAAGAAATCATTAACAAACTTGTTCATTAACCTAAAATTAGGTAAAGTTGGTACATATTTAGACATAACTCAAGATTAACTGCATTTATAGAAACTTCAGTACAGTGTGTATTTGTATTTTGGAAGTACAACCACCTGCTTCTTAATCAGCCACACACCTGCCAGCACACAAATTTTGGCACTTTCACCTCCAAAACCCTTTTTTCTGTAGTTTTTGGCTTTTGCAGAGCATTTGGGGAAAACATTTAACTGGCTGGGAAGCAACCTGGTCCTCAGGGGTGATCAGGCCACGTGCTGGGAGTTCTTTTGGCTGCTTGGATGGCCACGTCTGTTAGTCAGAATAATAATAATTATTCTTAAATTGCTTCATTTGGGCAGCACTTTGTCTTAGGTGAGCCCTGGATTTTGGTGCTGGACTTCCTGGCACGAAATTCCAGGAGATCAGGACACCTCTCCCTCGTGGGCAAGGCATCGATGTCTTAAAGCAAGGGAGGGCCTGCAAGTGGAAATGAGTCCAGTCTTTTAAAATACAGCTTGTTTCCAGGTAAATGTCTTGAATAAAGCACATTTCTGAGTGAAAGGCTTGCTGGTTTACAGGTGAGCAAAGGCTCCCTGCCCAGCTGTGGGGACAGGGCTTTGCTGGAGCTCCACACGCCAGAAGGTTGGGAAATGACAAAACCGGGTAAACCAGGAGTGTGCTTTTGAATCCTTCAGTTTCTTGGTAGATATTTCTGTTCAAATGTTGATATAGTTAACAGGATAAAGGCTTTATGCTCCCACTGCAAGTGAGTCTGGATAGGTATTTCTTCTAGTGTTGTTTTCTTTCCCTTTCCTTGTGATTTATCCTCCGAAAGAGGAAGCAAACAGTCCACTGTGGAATTCCACTTAGCCTGCAGTGCTTGCTCATGTCCTGTCTTTCAGACTTGCCAGATGTATTTTTATTTCCAAAGCTTGTCTTTCAAGGGGTGCCTGAAAGAGAAGCACCAAATGACGTGCAGTGTGGAACAATTGGTTAGCTGGGTTAATTTAAAAAAACCATAAACATAAACCAGCCACCCCCTTGCACACAATGATTCACTCCAAGGGGGAAGAGAAGCCTTTAGTCTTAAGTGCCCTGGCAGAAGTTGTAATATAAAACACACTCCTGTGCCTGTGCTGAGATAAACCCACAGTCTGAAAAACAGAAGCAAACAACACTAAAATCCCCAGGCCGTCCTTTTGTGTGTCAGGAGGGCACTGGGGGTTTCCTTTGAAGTCACCGTGAATTACTGGAATGTTTATATCCCGCTCTCCCATCCCATTATTTTGGAGCAGAGCTCTCTTTTAGCAAGGAGGCAAAAGGGATTCTCCCAGAGCTTTGTGCAGTCAGCACGAGCGTTCGGTGCA